ACCAGGTTTGAGATGTTTGGCAGACCCATGCTAGACCTATCAGACCTAGGAGACATATCGCCCTCAGACATAACGGCCTATACTAAGAGGCTGGGTCTTGAGGATGAACTTTGACGCTCTTGTAAATTAGAGCTTGTAGAAACTGAGCCACAATAGGCCCTCGCGGCCTCAGTGGAGGGTCCCCCTTGGGACCCACTCTTAGTCAAATACAATACAATACAATGTACTTTCAGGATATATAAAGCATTATAGGATTCAATACTTTGGCTTTATACAAAACTTGATATATTCAACCCTTGTTTTTGAACAATTTTAGATAATAGTTAAAAGTTCGCCTATACCTAGTACCGTAGTCATAAGACCAAAAAGAAATATATTTCCATACTTTACGCGTTTTAGTTAGTTAATAAGCGTAGTTTCACTAAAATCTGTGACTTGACCAATATCGAGAATTTTTATGAGCCCATTTTTGGCTTGCTAAAAAATGGGCTCATAAAAATATAAAAATTTCGGGATTTATACGTAATTTTATGTACTTTTAAAATATATAACCCTTGAAAAGCTTAAACCCTTCGGTTTTAGTACAAATTCGATATTTTCAACTCTATTTTTTTTCAATGAAACAAATTGCTGTTTTTTACGTATTTTCAGAGCCATTAGAAACAATGCCAAACATAATAATAAAATTTTAAAAAATTTCTGTATTTGAAATTGTATGTATATTTCGATTATGGAACTTGTTAAATCTTTAAACGGTTTGGTTATCTAAAAAATCCGTTTTTGCTAATACTTGTTTTATGGCGATTTTTAATAATGATCAAAACTCAAAAAGAAGAAGTTTAGATGGAAAATAAAGCTATATTCTTGTGGATACTGAAAAGCTTCAAAACCATTCTGTGTACCTCCCCCTATGACGCATACATCCCCTCAATACACTCGTGTGTTCAGTCAATGCAAGTATGGCGCTCTCGTCTAGCGTTAATTAGTCCGCTTGAATTGTTCATCTTGAATGCAATATGAAACAGCACACTCAAGAATTCCCCCAGTTTTTAAAAAACTGGAACATGTCAAAGGACCAATTTCGAGCCTCTCCAAGACTGGTTAAAACAACCTGTTTTCTATATTGTTGCATGCAATAATGCCATGAGAGCCTTCAAGAGACTATACTCTCGTATTATAGTTTGAGACGAGCTTTTACAAGAACACCGACAAAATACTTGCTTCCCTTTATTACTTTTCGTAAATATACACGGTGTTCTAATTTTCCTAGTTGTAGAATTACCATCAAAAATAAAATTATACACCCCCACACAAAGTAAAAAACTAATTTTCTTAAAAATAATTGAATTTCTGAGTTAAAAAACGCTATAATCATTTAAGTTGCAGTAATCCCTTACAAAATAAAAAATAATTACAAAAACGACTGCCTATTAAAGCACAAAAAGAAGAACAAAAGGGCAGTAATTTCTATTTCCGTTGCTTTTTTCATCCCGGCTTCATTTTTCAACGCCAAACTGTCACGATATTTTTCTTCAAGTTTTATTCGAAAATTGAATATTTCATTTTAAAAAGAAACATGTAACATCGCGGAAGATTTTTTTACAAGAAGAACGCTTGAAATACTCCTACATACCTTTTTTTTATTAAATTCTTTCAGAATTGTTTACATGTTTTCAATATTACCATGCCATATACTGTTTTTTTTCGTAACTAACCAAATTCTACCGAAATCAAATAAGAGGTGTGTGTACAAAAGTTAATTCTGAACTAATCCTATCTCTATTAAACAAAATTTGCAAGCTCCTTAACTAAGAGATTTGAGAAGGCCTTTAAAACCATTTGTATCTGGATAAAGTTTGAATTTAGGAACACGTGCTCTGAAACTTCAAACTTGAAGTGTGCCAGAGATGTTACTGGAACAGTTTATGAAAGTCTTGTACGACTGATGAACATATTTTGACGTTTAGAAGGAGTTGTTAAAGCCAATTGTTAAAAATAAGCCAGCTAGTAGGACAATAGCAAGTTAATTTCTTATAAATAATACATAATTCTAAAAGAGTATAAATGATGCGCATATAACCGTCAAAATACAACCCTATCAACATTCCTGACTTGTGTAACTTTGGGAATATGTTTCCACGATTTATCCAGGCTTTCCGAAGTCCAGTCCTATTGGCTTATTGGAATTCAATATGAATCTGATGAGTTGGGGCCGGGATATAAAAGGACCAACTTTGCCAAGTGGTCTTTTCTTGTTCAAATTCTGATTACTAAATACTATCAATATTTGATTCTGCCGAATACAATACAGAGTTAAAGTGGAATACATAGAAAGTTTCGGCGAAGTTTTATAATCAATTTTAAAAGTAGAACTTTAGAAATGGGGTAGTTCGGAACTTTGGAAAGTTGTGAGTGTTGAATGTAGAATTATCTGGAAAATCATTGAATAAAAGGGCTGTAAGGTTGCGGGAACAAGATTTACCAAAAATATTTATGAGGGGAATAATCTAAGCTTTGAATAAGTTTGAAAACTCTCTGAAATATACTTACATACTTTCATAAAACCATCCACGAAATATTTATTACAATTATATACAATAAAACCTTAAAGTTAAATAATTTATTGTATCCAGCGTGTTGTTTGTGCTTGTGTAAATTTACTACATGCAAATTTTAAGCAACGCATTTTTCGCACCCTTCTAAACCCTACATAAACTTTATTTTCAGGGTAGTTTATCACTGGTATTACTCTTTTACGAAAGACATTTAAAACTGTTCCATAATACCACGCACACGCATTTTTTTCATGCGAATAAAGGAAAATCCCAATGAAAACCCTTGAAAAATAGGCCACAAGGAAAACCCTTAGAGAAACCTTAACAAACGCTTTTAAAATAAACCTCCCCAGTGTATTTTAGTGTCTAAATCGAAAATAGTAATATATTGGAAAAGTTCCTGAATAATGCCTTTATTTCACATATTTTTTAATATTTTAAATAACTTTCTACTAAGTATTTTTCCAGATGGAATATGTAGAGAAATATAATGTCAAGTAATAAATACCGTATGATCGAAAAAAAACGGCGTCCAGTTGGCTTAGAAATGACGATATCGATGACATTCCCCATATAATTTTACGTATAAAATGACAGCGATCTTCATTTCATAGCCCTCGCAGACGTCGTATTTTTTTTTTTTTTTTTTCAAACGGTAGAGAGGAATATGAAGATAGTGCTTTATTTGACAACTGTGTATATTATATTCGGCTATAGCTGCGTTCTGTTTATGTAATTTTAAATTATTAGAATTAAATTCAGTTTTGAGTTCTTTTTTTACATAAAATAAGTGAGTAGATATGTTAAATAAAAAACAGTTATTTTCTTGTTATTTTATACGTTTCTATAAAGTTTTATTGTGGAAAATTAGTTACTCTATAGCAAAGTTTATAAATTTAAATAACTAAATATGAATATTTTAACAGAGGTTTATGCACAGGTACAATATTTATTATTGAAAAAAGGAAACAGAAACAAAAATTAATAAAAACCGGAGCTTTAATAACTCGTTTTAGGTTTAGGTAGGTATGTGTTTGTCTCCCCACAGAATCTAATTAATTTCTTTCACGCTGTACCGAAATAAAGCACAGGTGTTTACTACAATGTAAATATACACAGGACTTGTTAGTACCTAAGATTTGAGCCTGTATTTCAGTTTACCTGCCATGGAAAAATAACATAAATAAACATGGAAAACATCAAAAGAAACAAAACGTAAACTATAGGTCGTTTACTTACCTTAAATAGATGAATAGAAATCGTGATTTGTAATTCTTAACTGCACAAAGGTCATCATACACGTAGATACAGCAGCATCCAAAGAATATTTACTCAACAGTCTTTTGTATATTAGACATGAGCACTAGGTTATGAATGTTTATTGCTTATTATACCATGCACCATACCGCCACAACAATCGTCCGTAATTGTCAGGAAGATCTTCGTACATACACAACACGTTGTCCTTTCTTCTGTGTGGAATAACAACATTAATGTTTCTACTCCATTTTGAAACTGACTATAAAGAACGGACGAAACGCTGATTCTTTGTTCATGTGAATGGCTGTCGGTCACTTATCTATTAAAATCACTCCGAATTGGCCACAACTTCAGTCAAAAAGACGAATTATTTTGGAAAAATCGCTGGGAGTGCCTGAACAGCAACAAAATATCGCAACACAAATAACACCAATGCAGCTATGATTTTGACTTGACTACCGAATGCACCGACACCGACCGAACCACAGAGAAATACACAAACTTCAAACAGTTCGCAAGTATCCGACAGAGGCCACCATCTGCCTGAAAGCTTTTGGAAAGCTTTGTACTAGAGAAAAATGTTCCTGTAATTGGTCAAAACTAGTAACGCCCCCTACTGGAACTTTAAACTAATATTTTAGGGGAAAGGCATAAATCAGTGTTGCCAGAATTGAAGGATTTTCTTCAATATGAAGGATTTTACGATTTTACAGTCAAAAAAAGGCTGAAGGCAGTTTGGTTAGGTAGGACAATAAAAATTGTTAAAATATCTAGTAGGAGTATTAATTGTTTTTTCTACATCTATTTTTTTCACGTTAACGGTATTTAATTAAGGATGTCTCAGTTTAAAGCATGTGGCAGCAAATCTTCTAATTATAAAATAGGAGACACACACGAATTTTGGTAATTTTTCACAAGATCTGGAATAATTTTTTGTAAAGTTGAAGGAATATGAAGGTTTTTTAAGACTGCGTTGAAGAAATTCGCTCGAAAATTTCTGGCAACACCGCTTTAAACTAATAATTTAGGGGAAAGCCATAAAGATTATATTAAATTTGTATATTCAATATTCTATAGAATATAGCGCAAATTATAAAACCGAATTGATATCTCATTAATTATATAAGTATGAGAATAATCTCTTAGTTCTAAAGCATAATTAACTGGTCTAAAATGAAACAAAGCTTTAATTGACTTAGGTTTGTATTTGGCAAAAAGTTGACTTGTAGAAAATATTACAAAACAACCATATCTTAAATGCTAACTTAAATAATTATTGTGTGAAAGTATAAACATGTTGGAGCTTGTTGCAGATCATACATAACCAGATAAAACGCCACATTGGCTTTTAGTTTATAGTAAACACCACGAGACGATTAAAAATATTTAAAAATAACATATACATAATACAGTTACTGTACTGTTTATTCTATTATTGCTCAGAAAAGACAGACTTTTATTTCATTATTTTTTCATCAGTCTATAACACCCCGCAAAAATATAAATTAGATCAGAGATAAACATTATACCCCACTAAAGAAAATCACAAAAATAAATAAATATATCCCGTGGCATTCAATAATATGGCCCCTTAAATTATTACAAATATAAAAAATACTTTTGATTTTATATTATATTGTGATGCAATTGAGTGTATGTTAAAAATAAATGTATTGTAAAAAGCGTGTGCAAGTATTTTAGATTTTGAAATAAGCAAATATTCCTTATTGGACATAGATACATACACAAAATAATTCGCTTGAAATCCTGATAATAAATTTCATTATGTATGTAAGTATATACAATATAAATTAATATTGCCTACCTCTGATTTAGAATTACCTATATTTATTCAAAAGCTTGTAATATTTTTCTTTTGTACTCCCTGCTACAGATATATATTATCTGAATTATTGCAGCAAGGTTTAAAAAAATAAAGCAAACTTTTGACACCTGAAGCCCCAAAAAAATAGGAAATATTTTATTTTCATTTATTTTTTTTTTTTTGGTTTTGATTGAGGGTCCTATTTTGTACATTTCTTTTAAACTATTTCTAAAGCAGCAGATTGAAAAAGATCACAGATTTATCTTAAAAAGACGAAACTCATAAACCGTTCATATTTTTACTGTCCATCCTTTTATTTGTGCATCACTTGACCTAATGTATCAATTAATGTAAATAAGACACACTACATAAAATGTGCAATCAAATCTTCTAGTCGCTATCATGGAACCCTTGAAATTTTTTATATAAAATAATTAATAATCTCGTAACTCTTCTAAAAAACACACTATACGAATTTTAAGCGATACTTTTAACTTTTCGTTTTCATCAATTAGTTTGCTAAAATCTATTAATTAAGAAGTAATAACCAATGTAAAAAAATGTAATAAAATTAACTAAATGAACTATATGTATAATGTGCTACTGCCACTTTTAAAATATCTGGTTTGCTCCAGTATTTTTTAAAAATATTATTATTATCAAGTGCAAGTGCGCGCAAGATGTGTTTGTTATTATTGCTTTTTACATAAATAATAAGGAAGAATTAACCCACTCACGCAGGCTAAGGACTAAACTTGATTAAAATATAAAAAATACTAAATAAAAAAAAACGCATAAATAAAATAGATAAAAAAATAAAAAATGTATATAAAAAAGTACATAAAAATAGATTTTTTGGTAAAATAGAATATTCGATATAAGTTATAACAAACAAATAAGTACGTAAATAAATGGTCTGTTCCTAAAAACAATATTCTCAGTATTTTTTTCTAATACAAATTTACTTTAGAAGTCTGATTCTTTACTTTTAGTAATAGAGATCGATAAAAATTGAGTTTGATTCAATATTTCAAAAGAAATTCGAATATAATCTCAGAAACTGATTACCAGAAAGTGCAATTTTGTTTCTAGGAATAAAACTAGCAACTGTACGTCCTGGTTTTAGAGTATTAAACAAAATACTTTAATGCTAAATGAATTAACAGCTTTTTAGGTGAATTTTAAGAAAAAGGCAGCTTGCTACGAAAGTACGTCTTGATTGGCTCATACACATGGTATTTTAGCGCCACAATCTCCGGAACCTCCTGTATACTACCTAGATAATCCGTTTCTAACAGAACTACGGTAGCTGTAAGTAGTAGAACGGCGACCAGTAAGATTGCAGGTGCAAAAGCGCTAATTTTCCGCGTATCTCTATTCCCTTGGTTCGTTGGTTGCGTACTGTTCGATGTACAGGGCCTTCCGTCAATTTGGGAGTTGGATAAGGGCGTTTGACTTCTACTAGAGCGGTGTGACGGATTGGTCGTATCGTATCGATAGTTGTTATCGATCAGTTGAGATTCGGAGGACGAATGTTCGAAGGAATCGCGGAAATAATAGTCACTAAATCTGTCTATTGAATCATCCTTAAGTACTGAAACAGAAGCAATGAAAAATATGTATATTACTTGATCAAACAAAATCAAAACTACCTGTGGTGCGTAATTTTCGTCCACTTATTGCTTCTTGATCTTCACAAACGGTTTCTAAGGCAGCTACATCACTATATCCTTGTCCAGGATTACCATCCAAGCCTGAAAGCAGGCCTATGCTACTGCTACATTCCATGCGGGAACCCCCGACATCCGAATGACTTGAACGCGGCAAACTACTATAACCTATATAATAAAAAAACAACATATCATTAATTTAATCTGGTAATAAAAAATTATCTTACTAACAGCTTTTAAATTGAAGGATTTAAAAACCGTAGTTTGCCATTGTTGCCAAGTAATGCGATTATTAATTTAGTTTGTCAAAAACGACTCCAGGGTATTCAAGTAAAGTTTTGTATCTAGCCCCCCCTTCCCAAATCCTGGAACCGCCCCTGTGTTACGGCTTTGAATTTTTACTCCCAGCGCGCGTAAAGAAATTTCACTTCAATAATCTCTCTGAAGTAAACTACTTACCTAAATGAGGTTGTAAAGGTGTAGATGGGGTGGCAGGTACACTAGATGCTTTCCTTCGCATACTGGACGTTCTCTGGATAGTAGGTTCTTTCCTGGTGGGCGATCCAGTGTCTTCTAAAATTTCTCTTTCTGTTCTCCCAGTGTATTTAAATTTTGTCCCGAAAGAAAAGAAGCCTCCACCCGATACCACTGATGGAGCGTCTGAGCTAGTTGGTAAACTAAATATTTACAAAACTATTGTTTAAAATGTGCAACATCTAGCGAAAAAAAGTGAGTCCTGAAAATATAGTTTCAAGCAAGTGAGACTAGGTTACAGGTTGCGTGAGAACTAACATCAACTTGCATTTTACAATTAAAAAAGCTACGTTTAATGCCCATTGTGTTTTTGCATGCAACAAGTTTAAAAGATGTCAAATTCCGATAAATTTGTATAGCGCGAATTCACCATTTTGTGAAAAAGTCCAGAGGTAACGTGTACAGACAAAATATTTTTTCAATTGACTATAATTATCTAGAACATTTTTTATTAATAATATTAGCTGTTTGAAATAATAAATCCACCTAAAATCGCGATTTGATATGCCCACACTTAATTTTGACTTCTTAGCGTGATTTTGGTTTACCCTGTATAAAACATAACTTTTTAGGGAAATGTAAAATCAAAACTAATTACATGAAAAACCTCTATTATTTCATCCGTTTCGTAGTTATTCCCTAAAAAAAAACTATTAAAAACAAAAAAAAACCTAAATAGGGGTTGCAGAGGGTTGAAACTGCTGCCACTCGATGCTTTTCCGTCCCTAAATCCAACGTCACCTCAACCGACTCGATAACCCCGTCCTTTCCCGATTAATTGGCAAAAACTATTTAAACATAAAAACTACCCCTATATTATATGGGTTGCTGAGCCATACAGCCACCCGAGTGAACTACAGTGAACCGAGTGAACCTAAGAACATCTCAACTGACTTTATAACCATATTTGTTTAGTATTTATTCCCAAAAATACATTAAAAACATAATAAATTTCTTCATAAAGGACATTCAAATTTCATTAAATGCCTTGTTTTAGTAATGTTAAACTTGACAGCATTCCTTATATACCTAGTAATCTACATTTCATTCAAAAAAACCGTATTCAAAATGGCCATCGTTTTTAAACTGTCAGCTGTCTATAAGTTAATTTCTATATTTCTATTGGTCGCATCTACAAATGTCATTAGAAATAATCGTGGACCCGTATGTAACCCACATTTCGTTAATTTCATTCTTAAATAACTCCAGTAATGTCAGAGATCAGAGATCTTAAAAAAATAGTAAAAGTGAAGGTAAAATTTTGAAAATTACAGTATTTGTAGGAAATTTTATCTAGATTTAAAATATATTAGGCTGAAAATTTTTAAGAGCTTTGATTTTGTTAAAATCTTGATTTTTGCAACCCTTGTTTTGAAATAATTTATGATTTATGATGATGGCAATTTCTGACATGTTTTCAGAGATCTTAGAAAAATAGTAAAAGTGAATGTAAAATTTTGAAAATTACAGTATTTGTAGGAAATTTTATGTAGATTTAAAATATATCAAGCCGTAAATTTTCAAGGACTTAGATTTTGTTAAAAACTTGGTTTTTCCAACCCTTGTTTTGAAATGATTTTTGAGGATGGCAATTTTTGACATATTTTCAGAGATCTTAGAAAAATTGTAAAAGTGAAGGTAAAATTTTGAAAATTACAGTATTTATAGGAAATTTTATGTAGATTTAAAATATGTTAAGCTTAACAGGCAGTTATTTTGTAAATAACTTCATTTTCTCAACCCTTGTTCTGAAACGATTTATGAAGATGGTCATTTTTGACATGTTTTCAGAGATTTTTGAAGAGAGATCTTAAGTATTAGATATTAACAAAAATGCTATAGTATTTTATTTATATTAGGAAAAAATATAAAAACTTACGTAAAAAACAACATTTGCTCCATTGCACATCTCCAAATATGTCTACAAGCAGCTCCAGTAGGACATTTGAACCCTACAGTGTGTTTTTTCTAAAAAAAATATGAATTAAAGGAATATAATAATTCGAAAACTGACTAGGTTTACCTCATTATAATTTAAATGAATAATAAACATTTTTCCTTCGTAATTAATTTTCTGAATATCAGGCCATCTAAAATGGTGACTCTTTCTACTGCCTTGAAATGTAAGAATACCACTAAAATTTATGCCCAAATAAAGTTGAGTGCCTTTGTGATCCTGTAATAAGCCCTAAATCAACTGGTTAGCATGTTCAAAAGTAAAAAATTGTATACCTTAACGGGATGAGGATCTACCCCATAAGTATCAAGCTGACAAGCAAGTTTCAAAAAGCTACTTTCAATTTGTGACTGATCCTGGCCTTTTAATTGCTTCTGATGAATTTCCATAGCCTTTTCTTCAATAGTCTCTGTTTGTTTTAGTAGGATTTTGAGATCTGAGACATAATTACCTACATGAATATCTGGATCATAGTCTCCTAAGTCACCTAAATACATTTTTATTCAATATCACAATACATTACAGACTATACAGTATAAATACCAACCTTGAACAATCAATGCTGTTAGCATTGCTGCCTCACTGGTTCCACAATATAAACGTCCATGTAGCAAATCTCTTTTTAGTTGCAAAAATATCTGATACCTTGTAATTTCTTCTTTAAGTCGGAAAGGGTCAGGTGGGTAAAACTTTACCCGGAAACTGAACAATACCGGGTCTAAATCCTTAACTTGCTTATATATAGACTTTGCTAAATCTAACCAGTGCTGACAAGCGAATTGAAAAAGGAATTTAATAAAGTTTACAAGTTAAAACTCTAGGCACTTTTAACTTACTCTTTGACCGTGATTATCCACATACCTAAGGCCCAAATAGTCCTGTTCGACAAGGTTTAGCTGTTGGCAAACGTAATCTAATAGATGTTTTCCTTTATTATATATTTTATATTCGCATTCGAGGAATTCTGTATCTTCCAGAAGACGTACAGTACATTTATACACGATATTGCTGTCATGTTTCGAACCAAATTTTAACATCTTTCATATAATAAAGGACGATATCAAACGATTTTTAAAATCACAGACGGTTTTACAGCTAACATTACAAAAACATTTAAAAACAAATTAAAATTTACAGAAATTGTACGACACACATTCTGACCACAGATTCTGACAAGGTTGAAATTTGTTTGACAACAGCCACAGATGATACTAAAAAAACTTCACGTTTCCAGCGCATTCGCCATTCTATAGAAAAATTAACTGGGAATACTTTTTAACTATTAAAAGCTAATAAAAAAATCTTGCTAATTTCTAATGATATAAACAGCAGTTCAAAATTTTCTACAGCTTTCGAGACGTACGTATATGCTTTCGAGGTGCAAAAGGGATGCAAAAGGGTTCAGTTCTTAAATTTGTACATTAAAAGTTTTATGTTGGTAGTCTGGGTTACTTATTCTATGGTTGGCAGTGATTACAGCTGTTCTGTAGCGACGTAGCCTGACAGTCCTGACAGATGCCTGACAGTAGCAGGGTCGCAGAATCAGAATAGGTAGCTGACAATAGTTTTTGTGAATTTTTTGGTAAAAATCATCTATTTTCTGCATAGAAACTTTCCTATTATAGAAAAAACATGACTATTTTACCAACTATTCGCAAAACCAATACGGGTGCAGAAGAAAATAAGGAAACTAATCAGCAAAATGTAAGTTTATAAATGAACTCCAACCAACTACTTTCTTCCATCCATTTATCTCTGCTTGTACGTTGCTTTTATCAATACACTTAGCATATTAAGAAAGACAATATGTTATGGCCTAAAGAGACGAATTTAGGTAACATCCATATATATTATGTTTGTTTTTAGGGAGCAGCAGAAAGAACTAACAGAAGAAATGATATTAACTCTATGCAAATATCATCTCTTTCTGAAAATAGCTCGAATTCACGTCGATCCCCCTTTCCATTGTAAGTAATCTTCAGTTTTATATTGTGTTTTACAACCTTAGTAATATTCAAATTATACCAGATGCCATTAAGATTACAGATATCACTTACTCAGCAATTACATATTCCTGAATATATAATGAGTCTCAGATAAGTGCAAATAATTACAGGGCTGGTAGAGGTAGATCTCAATAAAAGAAATATATTTTCTCTTTGTGGTTTTTCAAATAAGTCCAAAATAGATGAGTTATTTTACTTTAATAATAAAAGAACTTTCTGAAACTTAATAATGTATTTTTTTTTCAGTAAAACTGATAGAAAGGATAGGCTAAGGAAGAGGTTTAAAGAACCAGACAGGACTCGTGATAGGGAAAGAGAAAGAGAACAAAAACGTGATATTCGCCGTGAACAAAAACGGGATAGGATTGCAATAGCCAAAAGAGAAATTTCCAATGAACCATTACTGGACAGCAACACTGATAATGTTGAACAGACAGTCGAACCTACGTGCAATAGTAATAAAAATATTAAAGTTGAAGTCAAAGAGGATGCAACTGGCTTTAATAGTGAAGATGAATATGATGATAATAGTGTTAAAGACAGAGTTCTAACAGATGAAGAATGGCAAAAGGTGAGATACTAATATCTTTTCTTAAAGAAAATTAAAATTCATTGCTTTATTACAGAGAGATGAATTTTTTTCACGCTGTATGTCCACTTTGGGTTATGAAATTAAGCAGATGAATGAAGACGGAGCATGTCTTTTTCGGTCTATTGCCGACCAAGTTTATGGAGATCAAGAATTTCATTTCCAAGTTAGACAGGATTGTATGAATTATATTGTAAGTATAAATTATATGGATTTCTTGCTAATTGCTAAGATACCTTTGAGAGTAATTGAAATTAATACTTTAGGTCCAAAACCGGGATTACTTTGAACCGTATGTAACTGAAGACTTTGATAAATATATTGCTAGGAAACGAACCTGGCATGTACATGGGAACCATTTAGAAATCCAGGCACTGAGTGAGCTGTATAATAGAACTATTGAAGTGTACTGTTATCAAATTGGTAATGTCAAAAATATATATATTTTAATCCTCTTTAATTTCGGTTTAATTTTTCAACAGAACCGATCAATATATTTAACTGCTCCACAAGAATCCTCAACACTTATGAACCTATCCGACTTTCTTATCACAGAATGTGCCATTATAATTCTATTAGCAATCCAAGTAAGCCTTCTGTAGGTGTAGGTCTAGGACTACCAAATTATCACCCGACTGACATTGATAGACGGAGACTTCATGATGCTGTTAGAGCTAGCGAGCAATTACTTATTGAACAGGTATTTAACACCCTTTTATATTGTTTATTTACCTCTAATTATTTTTGTTTTCAGACTATGCTGGAAGATAAACTTAAGGCTACAGATTGGGAGGCAACCAACGAGGCTATAGAAGAGCAAGTGGCTCGCGAATCGTACATTCAATATTTCCGAGACACGGAGAAGCGATTGAAAGACCAAGGACACCCACTGGCCAGCGGCAGCAGCTCAACCATCACTTCTTCTATGGTGTCCAGTCCAAGAACGTCGCGTCGGGGATCCGTTTCTCCTAAAGGATGTCAATCACCCAAAGGATGTGCCTCACCTAAAAATATGTCGCCTCTGGGTAATTGTTTTTTGATGAAAATATTTTTATTCGAGTTTTAATTTGTTCTTTATTTATTTAGCAAGTCCCCGAACGAACTTCCCGGGAAATTCGGTGTCAGATGGCAGTGAAAATGTGCCTCCTACGTACGTTCCTACTAAAGAAGAGGAAGCCTTTGCAAAAAGAGTTTATAACTCGCCTAGAAGAATTGTAGAACAATCAGATTCTAGTTTTGATAATGAGAATTTCAGTAAAGAAGAAGCTGGTCCTTCTTCTATGATTGACAATGGTATATTATTTGTAAGAAATACGGTGATATTTATGTGACGTTATTTTTATGATTTTTGCAGCTAGTTTTGAAGACTTTGATCAAGAAATAATGGCCCAAGTGATGGCGGAGTCTCAACAAACTTACTTGGACGAGCTTAAAAGCAAATCGAGAAAGAGACACGGGTCCCCTGGGCCATCTACTTCTTCATAAGCAAAAAAATTAGATTTAAATTAAACTACAGTCTTTCTAATACATAAGGAAAACAATATGTTTTTGTTTAATTTGTTTTGTCTTTTGCTACGCACAACTGAATGCACATTTACTTGTAATTTTTTTTTATAGGAGTTGGATGTATTAGAAAGAGTGTAGACCTTAACATAATGTATTTTTCTTTACAAGTTTTTATAATATGCAGTTTATCAATTTTAACACAGGCATTTTGTTGTATTTTTGTTTTTTAATGGGGGTTTACCAAAAAAATGTACATTTGTAGCCGCTATTATTTAAATTTTCCTGTTATTTTTTAAACACAACAATATATTTATGGGTACTTATAGGAAAACTTAAATAATTATAAAAAAAATTAATTTCATGCCAACGGTTTATTTTCGCGAAAGAGAAATATTCTTAAAATTATTTTAAGAAGCCATTTGCAGTTTTAAGTAATTTGTGATATATATAAAAATAATTTTATTTTGAGAAATTTGTCTTAGTTTAGATTTACTTTATATAATATTTAAGTTTTTATTAAGGTATTTTTTGTTACACCAGACATAATGTAATAATAATTTTCATCAGTAATAGACAAGCATATACATACATATACATAGTGTTTTATTTGTAAGCCTCTTAAATTTTAGTTTCTCATAAGAAAAGTAGAAAATTTGAATTGAAATTTTCTACTACATGGAACTGTGAATATTGATATCTATTTATTGGATATAGTTCCAAAACAAATTGCAAGAATTTTTTTGTAAACGCATAAGAAGTAAACCGCATAAAAGCATTTTTTAAAATTTTGTTCGTTTTCTAGGCGCATCCACCATTTTCTTCAGGAAAGAAAACTAATTTGGACTGGCTTGGTTTGGCGAACACTGTATATCAGGAGACCATAAGTGCGAGGAGGTGATGTGCCCTTATCACATCAAAAACTTATCTAATCAAAAGTTTATTTATGTAACACTTAAAAAAAACCTAATTATTTATATAACAATAATAATTAAATATGAATACAGTGATGTTTAAACAATTTAAAAAAGCTATAATTATCTAATAATCATTTATAACGTCTTTTATTAGTTTTAGAGATTGTAATTCAGTCAGTACGTACTAATAATTCAATATGGAAAACTAAAGCTCTGATTTTTATCAAGAATTGATTAAAACACAAATAGAAGTAAAAAACGCTCCTTTTCAGAAGTGATTGATTTACAAGTCTCTAATTACATACTTTTTACACATACGGAACAGGTATTGAACAGTACAATAAATTAAATAAATACACTTAGCTACCTGATATAGGATATTAATAATACACATATACTAGGATAATACCCTTGTATATTATATAAACAAGGATAATACGCAGCTAATTAATTTCAATAACTTTTCAATAATTCTCCCGCAAAAAAATTTAAACTTGGCAACTTGTTCGGACATCTCCTCAATTCACCCCATACCTCTTCTATTAATCTGTTCTCTTGTTACTGCTGATAAAATCTAACGTTACCGTAGGTGAAGGATATATGAGAAAAATATGGAGAAAACGCATTCTCCAATTTATTGAGAAGAGACGCTCAACTCGCTTGTTCGAAATTTATCCCCGTGTATCAGGAACCTATAAGTGCGAAAGGGTAGCGGCACTGTTAGAATACACATGATAACATTGAGTGGGAGTGAGATAGCCAGACCATTAGTAAAAGATAGATAAGGTCGTCGAATGTGAGTGAGGTAGTATGTATTAGACAAGGATGAATAATATGGCTCTTATGCAACCAGAGAAACTTCCCTACAAGTTGCCACTTTGGCTAGGAAAGGATGTGGCTACGTCGCATTTGAGCTTGTTTTTAAATCGTCCAAATATTTGTTGGCAAAAGTCTGTCTCGAGACAATGTCTTGTTTTATTTAAATTTAATATACGCGAATAGTGTTGTTTATTTAAAAAAAGTCGTTCGTAATCTAGCGAAGTGCCGACAAATGTGAAATAACAAGATAATTCGAACAAAACTTCACCACATCCACAAATTCAACATGTTGAAAATGCCCCTATTTGGTAAAGATCGGAAAAAGAAGGAAAATAAGGAAGATAAATTAGCAATTGAAGAAAAATACAGTCTTAAGGATGTTTTGGGAACGTAAGTATAACATTATTTTTCATTTTAATACATATTAATGGCCGGTTTTACAATAAACATGGTAAGCAAAAATTTCGTCAATACTTGTATCCTTGTTTATCTATTCTTATATACAAGGCTTGTATTAATAAATACGTATTCAAACTATTAATTATTTAGAATTATACAAATACCGCTAATTTATCGTGAATTCTTTTAGGGGTGCTTTTTCTACAGTCCGGATTGCAGAGAGCAAGACTCGACCTGGCGAGATGTATGCAGTTAAAATAATTGATAAAAAAGCACTGAAGGGCAAGGAGGACTCCTTAGAAAATGAAATTAAAGTTTTAAGAAGGTTAGTAGGTATATTTACAATTTATATTAATACCCAAAGGAAAATAAAACTTCACCCTCTATCGTACTTAATTAATAGTACATTTTAAAATTAATTGATAAATTAATAAGCTGTAATCTAAACCAAAATTAATGTGATTTAATTACGTATTTTGGGTAAAAGATAACACAAATATATAAATCATTACGTCCAAGTCAATAACAAACGTAATAATATACTATTTTGAATGAGGTTGAGTATAAGAAATAACAATTTATATCAATATATATGTAGTCAACATATTTTTTCTTAATTTTAATCATTAAAAGTTATCTGTTTATTATAAGCATTTTACTGTATAAGTAATACAGCCTATTTTCCAGAGGGTTACATAAAGCCATAATATATTTAATAAACTATAATCCCATTTGTTTTTTGTTTGCTATAATGAAATGAGTTGATTGTTCAAAATATGGCATACACTGTATAAGGATAGTTTTATTTTTTACTTTAAATATTATTAAGGAATAATTTATAACAATTATAGCATTGAAATGAATTTATATTGACTTGGGAGGTTAAATATTTAATTTTTATACTCTTATAGGTAGAAACAACATAGTAGTGCTAGTAATATTTATATATTAACAGAAATATACCAGAAACAGGAATTTAAAAATCTATGAAGTGATTTCTAGGAAATTACATTCGTTACAGGATTTTCTAAAAAAAAGAGTTTTGTTATTTTCCATTTGATTTAATACTTTTCTTTGATGCTGTATATTTTTCCTATGTATACAAAAGACTTGTTTTAACGATGGAAATACGACACTAACAGAGAAAAATATATTTAATGATGTGTTTTTCTTTTTATTGTTCCAATTTATGTATAGAGTGATTTTTGTTTGACTCTAGATTAAATCATACACCAGATATAGGGTCTTTATATTGAGATAAATATTTAGAATATTGTATTTTAAATATTAACATTAAAAATACTCATGTTTTACAAATAAACAGTATTGCTTGTGTGCTCTTAAAAATATACATGGAGATTTTATTATGGTTTAATTATAAGCTACACTTATTAATTTAGGTTTATAATATACATATATAAAAATATGTCTTTTATTTTTTTATAATTTTTTTTTCTATACAATTAACGTATTTTTTTGTTTTCTTTTTGAAGGTTGAAACATCCAAATATTGTCCAATTATTAGAAACTTTTGAGGATAAATCAAGAGTATTTCTTGTGATGGAACTGTAAGTGTAATAATTATAAATAGGTACTTTAATAATAAAAATCTGTACATCTACAGGGCGTGATACATAATTCCTTTGTAATATTTTTTTATGCAGTTTAAAAAAAAAACATTGACCGTATTAATAATCATCTTGAAATTAATTATTAAAATTTAATTAGGTATGTAATTCTTTTTGAACTACCTAGGTTATTTGCTTGTAATTGCGCACAATTAATTGATATTTGATTGTTTTGGATAAAATTTCAGTTTAAGGAATACGTTATTTAATTAATTATCAAATTTTAAACCCTCAAACCTTAGATATCCCTACGGAAGAATTTTTTATTTACTTATCTATTGTAAAAAAAATCTCCTAGAATTAAAAAATTGTGCGTGCGCATATTTGAAGTGAAACTTCTTACTAACAGATTATACAGATTATAATCTTTGTTTTTTCTTTATTGTTATTCGTGGTTACAATTTTCGGAATCGGGCACTAGTTAGGTGACTAGTTTGCGCACATAGCACGCCCACTTATGGCCTCTAAAATTGTGCACAGCGCCTGACCGGCACAGTTATTAGAGCGATATCGCAAAACCGAATAGCGTCATGCAGTATTTACGTTTACGCGTACCTTATCATGGTCAGTCATGGTTACTATATGCGCGAGTCAATTTTTAACGCAACGCCCGCTAATAACGTTACCGTCTGACGTAATTTGCGGATCAATTACACCAAGCGCTACTTCTAAATAACGTTTAAAAATTGCTTAAATGGGCATGTGCGGGTATTTGACAACCGGGGCCGGCCGGCGAGTTCTTTTATTTTAGGTTATGTTTGAATTGTTTTGAATTATTACTTTAGTTTTATTAGGTAATTTGTCATCTTTTGTCCTCATTTCTTGAATTAAATTGCGATAAGCACCCTTGTTGCTTACGAAATTTAAATATTTCACATGTCCCAAATGACCGTTCTCTTCTACGTTTTAACAATAAGTAAATGGCAATTTTACGCCTTCTGTTCCAATCCCACAATCGTAATCAATATTCATAATCATTAAACAAATTTGAACTCATATTAGATTTGTTCGGGTTCTTGTTATTACCGATTCTGAACCGTCCTAGAACTCTGCAGTGCATGCGCAAATGAAATAATGTCTTCATATTTCCTTCTGCGCATACGCCTTACAATTCTAGGACGGTTCAGAATCGGTAATAAGAGAAACTCGAAGTAAGCTATTGTATGCTGTCAACTATAAAATAAAGGTCGTAAACACGAATAAAAACAAATTAAGTTATCTCAGGTTATGATTTTTTTTGGTAACTTTCAGTGGAGCAAAATTGAAATGTCCTTAAAAATTCGCGACTGTATGAAATAGCTCCAAATTTTGCGAATATTTTTTGGCGAATCGTTTTCCGCAATTCGCAATTCGCGTCTACATGAAACAAGCTTTAGGTTTACAGCAGATGGCGACTTAGCCCTTCTAAGAGAATTATTTGTTGTTTGTTGCTCTAAACCCACTGGCAGACGTTGAACAATAAAGCACTGGAAAGAACCACTTTAGCCCTTTAGTTTTAAAATACCTAGTAAACAAAACAATTTCAAAGTTTTAAATTCAAAGTTAGGTTTAGTTTAAATAGCGGACACGACGCGAACAGAATTCTTTCGATTCGATAACTATAAATGAAGAGAGTTAATACCACCTCACGTAAAGGAAATAACATCTGGCCTTATTAACGTCCATGCACGCTATTCGGTTTAGCGATATCTCTCTATTACGCTGTTTATTGTTATTTTACGGGAGTTTATTTTTGCGCACAGGAAATTTGACTCGTTTGCACATCGTCATAAAAAACAATTTTCGTACCACGAATTAGGGATAAGATTTTTATCTGTATACATATAGTATACTTAATCTGTGTTAACAGCTTTTAATTGAAGGATTTGAAAGACATTTTTGAAAAAGTGTAGTTTGAAATGGTGCAAAAGTAATAAATTAAAAAAATATTTTTTTACGTGTAAAAATATTTTTTGTCGTGTAACAAATAGTTTTTTACATGTACAAAATAGTTTTTTACATGTATAAAATAGTTTTTTGCTCGTAAAAAAAGTTTTTATGCGTAAAATAAAACACATCGCGTCACTACGTATTTTTAAGTCGTAGGCTGTATCTCGCTAACTCGTGTGACACGGCTTTGAATTTTTACTCCCAGCACGCGTCGTTACCACTTTTCGTCTCGCTAGCTCGTGTGTCACGGCCTTGAATTTTTACCTAGCGCGCGTAGAGTTTCACTTCAAAAATATTTTGAGCAAATCACAGGTCTGTTTATCATAAAAATTTCATGTTTACGAACATTTTAGTGTGACAGGAGGGGAACTATTTGACCGTATAGTTGAGAAAGGATCTTATACAGAAAAGGACGCTTCTGATCTTATAAGACAGGTTTTGGAAGCGGTTGATTACATGCACGAACAGGGAGTTGTTCATAGGGACTTGAAAGTAAAATATTTAATACTTTTTTTAAAAAAATAGCTGATGTCTTGTTTTACAGCCCGAAAATCTGCTTTACTATAGTCCAGATGAAGACTCTAAAATAATGATTAGCGATTTTGGTTTATCTAAAATGGAAGAATCAGGTATTATGGCTACTGCGTGCGGTACGCCAGGATACGTAGGTAATATGGTATTTTAATTTCACTTAAAAAGTTTATAAAGAAATTAAAAATAGCTTCGATTATTGACGTTTATGTTTAATAAGTTCTAATACTATATGACGTGAGGAAATTCGAAATTATTAACACACGAGATTATTTGTGTTCATTTCATTTGTATATTTTCGAAATAATAAATTTTTAGCTCCGGAGGTGTTGGCGCAGAAACCTTACGGTAAGGCCGTGGACGTGTGGTCAATAGGCGTTATTTCCTACATTCTGCTGTGTGGATATCCTCCATTTTATGACGAGAACGACGCCAACTTGTTCGCGCAAATATTGAAAGGTCAGTCGGAATGAGTTTTAAACAAAACCCATTGCCACATGTTATTTTTAATTACAGCTCCTCGACTATATGCGTGTGGAATACTTAGTGAAAATTAACTTATAACAAGTGGCAAAATTAATGTTAATTGTTAACTGGCTTTCGAGCTCACTTAGCCTTTGAAAACTTATTCTTTTTTCAATTATGTTTGTATTGAATTCTTTTATTTATAATATAGGGACGACTAGTTTAGTTTAATCGTTTTCTAAGCCCAGATATAATTTATTTTATATAGATTTTCTGTAATTATTCTATCTAGTTCAAATTGTTATTTAAATTTAAATTATTTAACAACACTAGTAAATTATAGAATTAATCTTGTTGAACATAAAAATATAGGCCATTGTGGCCTTGCGTTTACGGCCCTTGATGTAGGACAAGTTTTATCCATCATCAAAATTTGATCAAAGACAAGGGTTCAAAAAATTAATTTTTGTAATAAAACCAAAGCATTTAAGCCATAATGTTTTTATATTTTCTGAAAGTACATAAAATTTCCTAATAAAAAGCCAAAAATTGGCATTTTTTCTAGTTTTTTTCATACATGTACTCATGAAAACTGGCGATTTTGGCCACGTAGCCGATTTTGATAAAACTATTGTTATTTACTATTTAAAAGGGGTAAAATACAAAAATATAGTCCATTGCGACCTTGCATGGAAGTAGGACAAGTTTTATACATCATCAAAATTTGACCAAAAACCAAGGTTCAAAAAATCAATTTTCTAAGAAAACCAAAGCATGTAAGCTCTAATATTTTTATACTTTCTGAAAGTACATAAAATTTCCTACAAACACAGCATTTTTCTAAATTTTATGACGGGATTTACTGTTTTTCTAAGAGCTTCGAAAACGGGTAAAAAATGGTAAATTTTTCGACTTCTTTCCATACACATACATATACTCATGAAAACTGGCGATTTTGATAAAACTATTGTTATTTGCTAATTAGAAGGCGTAAAACACAAAAATATAGGCCATTGTGGCCTTGAATTTACGATCCTGGAAGTAGGACAAGTTTTACACACCATCAAAATTTGATCAAAAACAAAGGTTCAAAAAATCAGTTTTCTAATAAAACCAAAGCATGTAAGCTCTAATATTTTTATATTTTCTGAAAGTACATAAAATTTCCTACAAACACAGCATTTTTCTAAATTTTATGACGGGATTTTCTGTTTTTCTAAGAGCTTCGAAAACGGGTAAAAAATGGTAAATTTTTCGACTTCTTTCCATACACATACATATACTCATGAAAACTGGCGATTTTGATAAAACTATTGTTATTTGCTAATTAGAAGGCGTAAAACACAAAAATATAGGCCATTGTGGCCTTGAATTTACGATCCTGGAAGTAGGACAAGTTTTACACACCATCAAAATTTGATCAAAAACAAAGGTTCAAAAAATCAGTTTTCTAATAAAACCAAAGCATGTAAGCTTTAATATTTTTATATTTTCTGAAAGTACAGAAAATTTCCTACAAACACAGCATTTTTCTAAATTTTATGAGGGGGTTTACTATTTTTCTAAGAGCCTCGAAAACAGGTAAAAAATAGCCACAAATGGCCAATTTTTCGACTTTTTTCCATACAGAAAATTAGAGATTTTGTTCATGTCCTTGATTTCATTTGTATTCAAGTACAAGTTTAGTATGATTTTTTTATTCTTATAGTTTAAACATTTTAATATACTAAAATAAGTTTTTTATAACTTAGGAGACGGAAATGCTAAATATTTATAAAGAAATTATTCAGATAAGATCAGGTATTTATTGACATGTCCAGGATATCGTTAGATACTAATAAAAAAACGAATTCCATAAATATATTTAAAATTGAAATTGATAAAATAATCATCTTATGCAAACCGTATAATATATTTTTCAAATTTAAATATATATTTTTTTATTCGTGCAGTATAATAAAACACGCCAACATACATTCTTGAGAACGTGAGCTAACGTAACTTTAAATAAATAAATTATTTTTTAATCTATAAATAACGCCTTGAACTCTTTTTAATTTTAGGGGAATATGAATTCCACTCTCCTTACTGGGACGATATTAGTGAGTCTGCAAAAGAATTTATTTCGAGCTTAATGACGGTGAATGTTGAACAAAGATTTACATGTAAACAAGCCCTTGCCCATCCTTGGTAATATATACACGAGTTTTGTATTTTTCTATATAATTATTTCGAATATATTTTTTTTTGTTCAGGATATCTGGCAACGCCGCAGGCACAAAGAACATTCATGGAACCGTATCAGAGCAATTGAAGAAGAATTTTGCTAAATCCAGATGGAAGGTATAGTTATTAAGACAGGAATTTGTTGTTATATTAAATTTTTTTTTTCGGCGTTTAGCAAGCATATCACGCTACTACTGTGATCCAGAAAATGAAAAAAATGGCTTTGACCAACTACAGTGCCAGAGACCCAACTCTAGAAAGGTGTATTTCTGATCAGCACAATGATAGTGGTTCGTGTGGATGTGAAAAATAAATGATGAAAAAATGAACAAATTCTTAAACAGTATATACCTGTAAAAGAGTTACCCAATCTATCTTTATATTTTCTTGTTGCTTAATATATGTACAGGGTGAGTCAACGATAGAGTAAAGTCCATTATCTTATTTGTTTCGAGGTTTACAAAAAAATATTAAATATAAAAGTTATAGGGACGGTTAAGATACACATTTTAAAATTATTATAAAGTATACAGGGTGCTTCAAAAAAGTGTGGCGAATATAACATATGTTTTTTTAAATAGAACACCCTACTTTTTATTTTATTTTTAGATTCTGCGTAAAATTCCATAACTTTTTTATATATAACGTTATATACCTAAAATTAATAGTTTTTGTAATGTTTAAATTTGTTTAAACAAATCTTAAATTGCAGTGTGATAACAAACTGTCAGTGATGACATGGTTTCTAAAGTTGGAGAACTAAAATTTGGTAGGATAATTTTATAGAGATATAGAAAAAGACCTATGTAAAGATATTTTAGTTAGATGCTACAGGGTGTTCAAAATATATTTATGAATTTCAACTACTTAAAATTAAGAAATTTCAAATTTTTTAAATGGTACACCCTATATATTATCATTTTTTCTGATCGATTTTACAAAACTCTTCAACTTTTATTAAGTATGTCATATACCTATTTTTAATAGTTTGCGATTTATTCCATTTTTTTCTATTTTTACCCATATTTTTAATACAATTACGCTATAACATCATAGTAGTCTTCAACAATTAGGTAATCTAGTATTACCTTAATCTGTGGCTATTCGCCCCGACGCGCGACGGAAAATCCAAGTATCCTCTTTCATAATATAGAAATACACCAAAAAATTCACGACTGCGATTTTAGTTTATTTGAGTAAAGTTAATTAATTTTAACTAATACCAGCAATTGCAACTAATTATTAAGCTACTTGTTAAAGATAAGTAATAAATAGTTTGTTTTGTCATGGTAACTATGATTTTATAGGGTAATTGTATTAAAAATATGGGTAAAAATAGAAAAAAATGGGATAAATCTCAAACTATTAAAAATAGGTATATGACATACTTAATAAAAGTTGAAAAGTTTTGTAAAATCTATCAGAAGAAATGATAATATATAGGGTGTCCCATTTAAAAAAATTGAGATTATATAGATATATTTTGAACACCCTGTATCATTTAACTAAAATATCTTTATATATATCTTTTTTTTCATCTCTATAAAACTCTCCTACCAAATTTTGGTACTCCAACTTCAGAAACAATGGCACCACTGACAAATTTTTACCACACTGCAATTTAACATTTGTTTAAACAAATTGAAATATTACAAAAACTATTAATTTTAGGTATATAACATTATATATACAAAAGTTATGGAATTTTACGCAGAATCTAAAAATAAAATAAAAAATAGGGTGTTGCATTTAAAAAAACATATGTTATATCCGCCACACTTTTTTGAAGCACCTTGTATACCCTATAATAATTTCAAAATGTGTATCTTAACCTTCCCTACAACTTTTGTATTTAAATTTTTTTTGTAAACCTCGAAACAAATGAGATAATGGACTTTACTCTATCGTTGACTCACCGTGTACATACATACCGTATAATCCAAAAAAAAAGGGCGTCAGAGTTGGCTTAAAAAATATTGAAAGCTAATTTGACGCCGTTTTTTTTTATTATAACAGTACATTTTAGAATCTCCAGGAGGAAAAATAATCTCATTGTTATTTAGAGTAGTTGGTTTAAGAAGAAGAAAAAAACAAGACAGCATTTAGTAGTTAATTTTTGTCCATGATATTATTAGCAGGGATGGGCCAGTAAAAAATTGTTTTTGTGGTATATGAAGTAATTAAAGTTCATAAAAAGACTACGTCTCTCTCTCTCTCTCTCTCTCTATCGACTAGCCTTCTCTAAAGAACCCGCTGACTGATTGTTCACTATGTTTGGTAATTTATCAATAATTCATTTTTAAAACGCCCATCCCTGATTATTAGCTTGTGCGGTTTATATGTAAAGCTAAGACTTAACTCATTTTATATGGAGAAAAACTTAAGATATATATTACTTAATGATGAATCTCACTTTTGGTTTATTTTTCTTATATACTTTGCAAAACGCACTGCTTTTGATCATAACAATTCATGACAATCATTTGTATGATGCTGACAGGCATTGGTACTGCTTAATTTTTAAAGTAAATGTGATGTTCATTGCAATAAAAGCAAGCTTCGTGTAAGCAAATCTTATACAGTGTTGGCCAAAATTAAAATTCTTATGCATTATTATTATTACTGGCAAAAGTAGCTAAAGAAATAATTATTAATTATTGGAATATTTTACTAAATTCATTATATTATACAGGATGAATCTTAAATAAGTGCAAATATTTTCAGGGCTGGTAGATTTTGATAAAAAAAAAACATATTTTCTCTTTGCCGTTTCTCAAATATGTCCAAAATAACCAAGTTATTTTACTGGAAATTTAAAAAAAAATCATTTTTCCTTAAGTTTTGAGAACCACTGGATTTCTTTCTTTCTGAGCTTTCTTTCTTGTTAATTTAATCCACTACCTACATACTATGTTGTCATATTATCAAGAAATTATGTTCTTTTTTAACTAAAAACAATTCCATTTTTTACGAAAAAACTTCATGATCGTGTTTCTGGGGTCGAAATATACTACCCCTAAAAATATTTGCACTTATTTAAGACTCACCCTGTATAGTCTGTTATTTTTTATTTGGAAGTATATTATGAGGAAGCACAAAAAATATATTATTTTTGGTACACACACTGTATATGTGTAAATGTGATTAATATCATGTTCGTTCTAGTAGGTATGTAACAAAAATTATACACAGTTTTATTTCGAATCCTTTCTTGAACTGGTGATATTTTATTAATAGCTTCATATGGAATAATAGATTGTCCATATACCGTATAACCGAAAAATATACGGCGTGACGCTAGCTGGATAGCTGATGTCGTTCTTTTCGATCGTAGGGTATATTCCTGCACATACACAACATTTTAAATAAATATGTCATAAGCCACCTTGGAATTGATATATGTGACATTTTATCTATTCTAAGAAGTTATTAAATATTAATTTAACACTTAATTAACCATTTATAGTAAACGCGTTAATCTGTGTCTAAACTTTTATTTGGTGAGGTATATAATACTCTTTTTAAGTTATTTTTTAATTTTAGTCAGCTTACATAGTATACTATACAATTTTTTGATATATTTTTTATATATAAATGATATATTTTATTATTAATTAACTATCAATTTATTATTTTTAGAAATAGTATTTTATTGTCACTTCAATTTTGTCGCAAAGAAAGTTTATAGGGAATTAGATACAACTATTTTTGTAATGTTATAGGAGTTATGTAAATGTTGTCAGATGTGTAATCTATATAATATATCAATTTTTTTTATATAGTCTTGTATAGAATTAACGTAGTTGGTTTTGATTTTAATTTTATATACACGTTCTCTAGACCATTCTTAATATATTTTACACGTTTTTATGTAAATGTGATAATAAAATTTATAAATCGTTAATAGTTTTTATTTTACTGCAGTCCTCATACCAAGGGTGTCTAGATTTATCGTACAAAATAATTTATGAATCTTTTTTACACTATGGTGTACAGAATGCGATTTAAATTTGTTTTTAACATAATAAACAGATTTCGCATTTTTACCTGGTATGAAGAAAAAAATGCATTCCTCAAGATTTTTTCGGGGCATTCCAATTTTTTTCCTGAATATATCTGATACAGAAAACATTAAGATCTCTTGTAGTCTCATACGGTAGAGGTTGGCGTTGATATTGGACGAATCATATTATAAATTAAGCATTAAGATGGAAGAACACGTAAATTTTGCTAATCTTGAAGAATTTGAAATCATCGAAGCTTGTGATATAGATAAGAATATAAACATTTGCGAATTATTGAGGACGTTTGCAGGAAGCACCTACTATGTTGATGAGGAGAATAAGGTAAAGTACATTTAATTTTTCAAAAATAGCGTTAATGCCAGCTATTTTCTTTTACTGAATGTAAGCCGAACCGCCATCTCGATGCCGTGATCGCTATGATGGAGAAAGATTACAAAGTTGCGAAAATTTCCAACAGCTCTGGCAATAAATGCTTCAACTACCCCATGGTCATTCCCATCATGGAGTCAGATCGTCACGCAACAGTAACCATCTTCGAAGACCAAGAGAATAAAACTCCTTCGTTCAACGCCAATCAGCTGGAAGATCTGTTTGAGGAAGCTAAATTAGCAAGGTAAACGCCTATGATATATCTTCCATGCCCTCCTGAGTACCCACCCAGAGGCTCACAGAAAACTTAAGTTTTTTTTTTATTTAAATCATTTTAATGACTATCAAGTCATTTGATTTTTACTCATATTTCGAAAGAGACTTAAAATTTAAGTGGTTTTCAAAATGATTTGTGATTTAAGACTTTATTCCGAATTTATTCTGCTAAAAAATACGATTTTGGCAGCTTTTAACCGCCCAGGACAAGACGTGAAAAACATTAGACGATCAAATTTATGTTTCCAAGGCTCCTTGATTATAAATTAGTGTTTTTAACATAGCCATGGCACTCTAGATTGAAATTATGGAGTGTAGAACGCTACACTCCATAATTGAAATTTAAAATACGATTTTTTTAAGCGAAAATGTCAAAAGAATGACATATGATATGTCATTCTATTCAGAACATCCAGAATGTCACTTTCTATCGAATAAAGTAGAAAAATACCCAGGGTGCTACTGAAAAATCAAAAGTTGTAGTCATTTCCGGTGAAACAGGAAGTGACCAACAACAATTGAATACGTCAATCAATCCTAATTTATGTCATATACTAACATACCAAATCTCGTTTTTTTATCTGAAAAAATAAAAAAGTTATAGGGGGTGAGCAATGAAAAGAATCCAAGGACATATAACACCCGAGACCAAATGGTTACCATGGCTCCAAACAGTGCCGTGGCCATATATTTTTCTTAACTTAGCTGCTTGAAGGGATATTTATATTTTTGATAAATGTTTTAACCTACGCCTATGGTGTAGGTGGTGATATCATACTAATTAATTACGAAAAAAAAACGTATTAAAAAATGTTAACAAAAGTTAAAATTGTCGCTGTTGACGAGGTGGTGACTCATCCGTAGGCCTCAGTATGATGGCGTCTAACGTAACAAATTCTGCTGCAGCCCGTATATGGGCGTTACATGCCCTTGTATTCTTTAGTCATTGGGGGTGAGCCACTTTTGAGACGCACCCGGTATATTATATATTAATTAATTTATTTGTTGTTTTTTAGATGTAGACAAAGGTTTCCTGTGCCTGTCATTTTATTCAAAGGCCAATTTGTATGCCGCTCGTCAACTGTAGCTAGCGTTCCTGAAGTATGCTATCGCGGAAGTTTTGCTTCCTCTGCCAAGGACGTTCTTAACGTTCTCTGGGAGTTCTTGTACCCCAGCGAAGAATCACCTCCAGAGGTTTCACCAGATGGTGAAAAAACCGAGTCCCAGATACCTCCTTACTGCGAAAAAGTACGCAACGAAGACGTGAAGCTTTTAAAAGCGCTGAACGTCAAAACTATTGTTAACATCATGGTAGAAAAACGGAAAGTCAAACTGGGCATGTAGTAAGTGTATTTATACACTTTTTGCGTGAAATACTTTTAAAAAATACGAATTTCTTTTGCAGTATGAGTGCATCCGAGACAGTTGATGCCGAAAGGTACTCGAGCTTTCGAATGTTAAGCATGCCTTATCCAGGCTGTGAATTCTTCACCAAGTTCCACGATAATCTATATAATTCCGATGGTCTATTTTATAACTGGAAGGATCCATCAAATAACGCTGAGATATCCGTTCCTGACGACAAAGTTTCTAAAAGTCTCTATTATATTATCTGGGATTTTTATAAGAAATGGGACCTTACAGTGATAACACAGAACTACATGAAATATTTAATTAAAAGATTACAGGTAACAAGCATGTTTGGGTAAAATGAAAAAAAAATTGCATTAACTACATTTCTAGTAAATAGCGACTAAAAAAATAGAAAAAATTTAAAACATTTCTTTGTTCATAGAAACTCAAATTTGTACAAATTTTACCGAAATTCATAAAAAAAATTGGAATTGTTCGAATTATTAATCAAAAACTGTTAAAATTATTGTGCATTGAAGTTTGAAGATTAATTTCTTTTAAACGGTTAATTTAATCGACTTATAAGAAACCAATTTTGTAAGGCAGTGAATTTCCTACAAAACTATGAGTTGCACGTATCATAAGGATTTTTTGTTGAGGAGTTATAAAATTCATAAGAAAAAAACTGCCATAAAATCAAATTTCAACCTTTTATAACTTTCGAACGGTGAGGTTTACAAAAATTTGTAAGAGACCTTTTTGTAGAGAATTCAGTTTTTCCAAAGAGTAGATACCGAAATACGAATTTTTCTTTACATATTTATATAATAAGGAAAAAATGCAAAATTGAAAGGCGGAGGAACTTCTTATTAAAATTAAGAGCTCATGGAGAGAATTTTTTGAGGTGTTTACCAACCTTTTTTTCAGAGTATAAAGAAAAAAAAATAGTCGATTTTTTGACCCACCCTAATATATATGATATGAAGGGCTTATTGTAATAACATTTTAGTCCATTCAACCAGAAATCAGTTTTATTAACTATAGTACTTTCTTGATTTTTATCCAAATTTGTTAAATAAATATACTTAGCGAGTTAAACTATTATGGATTTGTGGCATATTATGTTATTACAATAAGCCCTTCATATACAGGGTGGTGCGAATTGTATTTCGGAAACTTCGACAGCATATTCTGCAGATAAAAATAAATAAAAAAGTTTGTATAAATGTATGCCCTAAAATGCTTAGTTTCGTAGATACAGGGTGTAGAAGTTTCATTTTTATTTCGATTTTTTCCAAAGTCAATATTTGGATGAAAATTTGTGTTTGGGAGTTTTTTGGCAGGAGACATTTGATTTTGATGTCAATATGACTCCTACTTGTAGAGGGCGCCACCTACATATTTTTAACTGGTTTGAAGAGTAATAAATTTTCGTCGGTACCTGTATAAAACTACTGAGTAAAAAAATATACATTTACGACGATTTTTATGTAAAAAAACTCTCTTGGTAAAAATATCTACTAGTAATGGTTCTCGAGATATTTGGAATCGAAATTATCAATACTTGTCATCATTGACATAAATTAAACATGTTGACTAAATAGTTATTAGACTGAAATCATAAATTTTAAATGTTTTTGTGCCAAAAGTTCATCAGGAACTGTTTTATCATCATTTAACATAAAAAAATAAAAAAAATTATTTCAGTTAAATAACTATAACTATTTCCGTTCTAAATATCTTGAGATCGGTTGCTTGTAGCGATTTTTACCAAGATACATTTTTTAAGTAGAAAGTCACGGAAATGTATATTTTTTCACTCAGTAGTTTTATACTGGTACGGACGAAAAGTTATTACCCTTTAAAACAGTTAAAACACATGTAGGTGGCGCCCCCTGCAAATAGGAGTCATATTGACATCAAAATCAAATTTATCATGTCAAAAAACTACCAGACACCAATTTTCATCCAAATATTGACGTTACTTCAGAAACGATTTGGAAAAAACCGTAATAAAAATGAAATTTCTACACCCTGTATCTCCGAAACTAAGCATTTTAGCACATACATTTTCCCAAGCCGAAGTTTCCGGAATACAGTTCGGACCACCCTGTATATATATATTTGTTTGCAGAATGATAATGACGGGGGATTGCTTCTTCATTGTATCAGCGGTTGGGATCGCACTCCTCTCTTCATTTCATTGATTCGATTGAGCTTGTGGGCGGATGGGCTCATCCACGAGAGCTTGGACGAATATGACATGGTTTATTTTACCCTTGCCTATGACTGGTACCTATTTGGACACCACCTGAGCGACCGTCTGGCCAAAAACGAAGAAATTATGATGTTCTGTTTCGATTTCCTCAAAAAAATCACCGGGGACGAATTTTCAGCAAAATCAAAGAAGAGGTGTTCTGATTCCCGTAGCTCAGCAGCGTCCAACGACTCAACGACGGAACAAGGGGATGTAATGACTCAGAGTCGTTATAACAGACTCCGTTCTGACATTAAGGACGCGTCACAGGATCATGACTTAGTGGATGTCGCCAGTGAGTCAGCAGAAGAACCCCAACCACCTATCAGTTTTGTAGCAGAGTATGATCCAGTACGATCTAGAATGAGCCCTTTATAAAATAAGTATTTTATTTTTAGTGACGAAGTGCGGAAACTGCGTAGATATAATGAAACAATGGCTGATCTATTTGCTGCCGAAGCAAGGGATAATGGCTCCAGGGGGTATGTCTGCGGAGAACCAGGTGGCAGGTTTGTTACAGAAAAAAAAAACAGTTAGTTTGATTGTAAATTTGATTTTTTTTATAGCACAAACAATCGATTGAGTCCGGAAGGTGCTCGTGCACGTGTATCATCACCTGTGTCTATGAAAAGTCCAAAAAAGAGACAAAGAACAACTAGCTCTGCCAGTAATGACAGCAGAAGAGATAGTTGGCAGTGCATTAATGAGAATGGAAGCCTGGAACAAGACTCGAGTATGAAATCTGTGAGAGCACACAAATTGACAACAGCGAGGAAGATATTTTTGTCTTGCTATCATAAAACTGTGAAGGGTGAATCGTATGGACCTCCAAAAAAAGGTGTTATAGAAAAAACACTTCTCTATTTGCGCAGCTTTTTTGAAACCCCCTTAGGCTCAGAACCGGATCCTACGGAGGAATCTTCTAATAACGACCAAGAAAATGACGAATAAGCCTCAATAGGCATTTTACAATTTTTTCGTTTGTATTGTCCCATTTCTACATTTTAGTATTGTATCTTCGTGTAATTTTAATTTGGCACAATATTGGAATGTTCCTATTGCGATACCTGTTGATATTATTGTAACAGTTTTAATTTATCTTAAAATGTTGTGTAAAATTAGTGTGTCGTCGTTATGTAATATTGACTTTTATAATTTGAAAGCAAAAAATAAAAAGTATGAATTGTGATTTAAAGTCTTTTATTATTAAGACCCCTCTACACATAACGTGTTACTATCTAGAGAACTATACAGGGTGTTTCAAAAAACATTTGCCAACTCTCGTGGAGAGATTCCTCACGTAAAAATAAGATTTATTTTTTATATCAACGTAAGTCCGATTCTGCTTTGTTTCGTAGTTACAGGGTGCTTTTAGCGAGTCGAGAGAAATTTTGAGTGTAAAAGTTACTATAAGTGCGACATATTTTAATGCAAAAATATGTAATATGTATGTCGATATCCACCAGGGACGTGCATATGGGTTATCACTGGAATATTTTTCTAAAAAAACTTTACGCCAATGACTTTTTCTCCTGTTAGCAAAATTGTGTAGACTGTTTAATGCCAATTAAAACTTGTATCTTGCTATTTTGTCGATTTCGATTCAACAAGAGAAAAAAAATTTCAGTGGCGTACATGTTTTTTTAGAAAAAGATTTCATTGATAACCCATACTTGGTGAATATATCGACACTTTTTTAGCATTAAAATATGTCACTCTTAGAGTAACTTTCTTCATCAAAATCTCATTCAAATGAAATTTTGAGGAAGAAAAATAATTACACTGTAGAAAAAAAAACAGGAAGTAAATATAAACAAAAAAGTTATTTCGATTTTTATTTACAATACAGACATGTCTTATACAAACAATAAAACAAGCCATATTCAAAATTAAAAAGTGTTTTGTTAGTGGATATTAAAATATTTTAATTTTAAATATAGCCTAAATCAATCTCGAATCTGAAAGTAAGCGACAGCTAAGGAAAAATAGAAAATAAACTAGAAATAATGGTCAGTTCAAAATTTGACTTAGCCTATACAAATGCCCATTAAATAATTTTAAATATATAAATATTTTTTTGATTTCATTTCGTTCTATCGCTAATGAGCAGTACAATTTTTGTGCGTTTAAAGAAAATTGTAAGTCGAAAAAAAAAACAAGCAAATAAAGGAACGATTCAAGAAAATTAAGCTTTTACAACCATAAAATAATATAGGATATTATATTTATTCAAATATTCCCTTGTTTAATAAACAAAACTGATTAAACTATTACAGTACACGTAAAAAACACGCCCCCAGTATCTGACAGATTTAATTTTTTTCTCCGTGTATATAGAACTACGATACACAGAGAAAAAAAAAGAATGTATGGAAAATTAAAAAAATCTATATAACGCAGACTTATTGTATCTACTTTGACATAGAAGTATTTTAAAACGTCAAAACTAATATAATGTTACGGCATAGTATATATTATAATTAAAATTAAAAAAAAAATATGTGTGTATTTATAAAAAAATGAAATAAAAATAAGTTCTTAAATCTAAAATAATCTAAGCTCTGGGCTAGGCTTTGAAAATCTGTAAAAAGCACTTGTATAAAGATAATATTTAGTTACTTATTTAATAATGTAAAACTATAACAATGTAGCCACAACTGGATCGATATGTGTATAAAATTTTCAGTAAAATGTTTTAAAATATTTTATATATTCTTTAAATATCACAGAACAATTGTACCAAAAGGGATGAAAGGCCTCAGCTTTATTAATTAATGTTGTAGAATATAGAAATTAATCAATTTGACTTTTTTACAACCTGAAACAGCACGTGAGTATTTCATTTTATTCTGTGTAGTAAAATCACAAAAATATTGCTTTCTTGGCTAAGTAACTAACATATCTAATATTGCAAAGAATCACTACGTTTATTTATAAATATTGCCAATGATACGATTGATGTGATGGAAAAAAAAAATGGCTTATACTGGTTAATAACCAAGCAAATTAATATTAAATACAGTATAACGGACAATATTATGGTATATCCATTGAAAATTTGCTCTAAAATTTAGGGACTTTTATCACAAATACTATCAACATTTTTTAAAGTCGAGTTATTGAAGTGTTACAACGGTTTAGGACCTTTCCCTTGCGAATATGATTTTCAAATAAATGCAATGAATATACCACAAGCTTCGATATGCCTTAATATCTAACCTAAGTCTATACAAAATGTCTCCAAAGGCACTGCTACAAATATATATTGTAAACGACAACTAAGAATAAAGAAACAATTGTAGGTAAATAGATATATTTTTCTTAATAGTATATTTAGATATTTTATATAAATATTTACATTAAATTCAAAGGCACCATTATTGGATGGATTTTGTTAGTATGAGCATCATGTTATCTCGTTAACCATTGTAGTTAACAGAAACAGTATAACGTAATCGCAACATAACTGTTCCCCAAATACTAGGAATAGTCTGTGCAATAGAGGGGTTATTTTAGATATCCTAGTGAAAATAGTTAATAGCATATCTAAATGAGCTTTGTGTGGTTGAAATAAAAACTTAACAATTGTTAAAACGCAAAATTAATTGCACACAATCCCAAAATTGTAGTACTTCAAAACAGCGTCTAATAGTTTTAAATGGCGTTGCGTTCAAATATCAAAAACGACAATTGAGCACTAAAATATCAGAAACTTTTACTGATCTTGGTGAAAACAATGCTTGTTATTGTCATAGACACGTTTGAAATATTTGAACGCTATAAATGGAGAAGAAATATTGTTAAAATTTTAACAAAATAAAAAAATAAAATTTTCTTCTTCAAAACGGAAACAATAATAAAAAGTGTAAAAAATTGATAAAACAAAAACTTATTGTGCCGCGGCTGAAGCTTAAAAACCTAGGATGACGATGATAACTTTAAAGAAACATAGGGCCAATACAACCGACAATAAAGATATAAAACTTAATGTTATTTTATGCTAAAAACAATAAATAAATATTTAGAATGAATACTACCGCGAACGTGTTAAAATTGATTTATAAATAAGCAATTGTGTATGAAAAATAAAAAGACTTACCTCGGTGATAGAAATTATTTAAAAATAAAGAAAAAAATTAACTTCTTCATGAAAATGGGATGATATTAAACTAAAAAAAGGTTTACAACCAAATAAGGCCATTATCCGGCTTTGTAGTGGCCGGATTTATTAAAGACTGGACGTCTTCCAGAATAGGAAACTCATCCAGTTGTAGACTTGGCACGAGATCATCAGTAGAATCGATGTTTTCGTTTAATGTCGATATATCTGGAGTGTCCAGGGTGTGACTCTCACTACCCACCTCCATATTATCGTCCATCGATGCCAAATAGTCTTCTGGAGTATGTGGCATTGAATAATTAGTACTCATGCCTAAAAGAAGAAAAAATAGAGACCTTTTTGTCTTCAGAATAACAGAATTAGTCTTACCAAGACCGCTATCTCCAGACTCTTGGCGCGAATGGTCAGTCAAACTAGACAAAAAAGGATCCATCACGGGCAAGTCTGAGGACGAGTTTCTGAGCATGATCTCCTGCTGTCTCCTGATCTCCTGTTGCCTCTGCTTCAGCCTCTCCCTTTCCAATTGGAGCTGCTGGAGTCTGATCTGTTGGGCTTTTTGTGGAGACGATGACACTGAAGCGTGCCACGAGGGTTGTACCAAAGTGTTGCCTGGCGACCTCTGTTGCAAGTGTTGAGCTGAAAAAAAAATTTTGGTTCAAGCAAAAGTTATAAAACATTTTCGAAGGTTTTGTTATTAAAATGAGAGGCGTAGGGACATACATAAAAAAGATTAATAGTATTAATGCTGAATTAGACTTTTCAAGTTCACCCTGTATTTTAAAGAAACAGCAAGAAAAAAAGAGTAACAATACCAATCTAAATGTGATGTAGACGTAATAATCTATGTACAGATCAAGAAAAAAATGACAAACTTTATGTAAAGACTGTCCTAGTGCAAGACTTTAAAAGATTTAATAATAAATTTTAATGCATTTCGTGGATAATTTTTGTTGATCTGTACTCAAGTACATTTATATTACTAATGGAACTTACGAATTCTGGGATCAAACCAAGATGTGGTTCTTGTCTGGTGATTAATGAAATAAATTTCACCTTCAGGAGTCTGAGCTTGTTCCCATCCTTCTGGTAAAGGTCCTAAATCTACATCGCTATTTACCTTGGTATCTGAAAATTTACAAATTCCGAATGGAATTTAGAAACCCGGTATAGCAAAAAATATAATCAGAAAAGTGACAGAGAGAGACGAAGAAATCTTGAATTAAGTTAACTTTAGGTATGAGTTAGATATGAGATAAGAAATTACTGATTTTTTTCGTAATATTTTTTGTTGAAACTTACTAGATGATGTAGGAGACGTAGTGTGTGAAACAGGATGGGTCACCAAATGTTCTGAGCTCTGATGCTGTTGCGAAGCTGCAAGTGTCTTCCTTGGATCCTCCCAAGTTGTGGTTCTTGTTGTATGACTGCAAAACAACGAAAAAGCACATTTATTGTTAGATTTTACAAAAAAAAACACACTAACAGTCTATTAACTAGTATTAACTAATAAATCCTCCGTCTGAAAACAGACATCTTTAAAATAATTAAGAAGAAATGTCAAAATATAAAAATATTGGTACTTAAATGCTTTGGTTTTCTCAGAAACATAATTTTTCGAACCCTTGTTTCTAACCGATTTAAGATGGCCGACGTCAACTAGCTTAATCGTAGGGTCAAAACAGGCTAGATTTTCTTGTTCTGCACGTTTTAATTAGTAAATAACAGTAGCAATTTCAACAAAATCGGTTACATGAAGAAAATCGCCAAATCTCACGAGGAAAAAAGGCGAAAAAATGTCTATTTCTGGCTATTTTTACTCATTTTCAAGGCGCTTAGAGATATAGTAAACATAGAGAAAATTATGAAAATTTCAGAATTTGTAGTAAATTTTATTGTTGTTTATTGCTTTTTATTCAACTATTTTACCAAAACTTCTGATTTTAATGAGGTGATAATTTTAATAAGAAGTACGACTTTATTTTTAAAGCTGTGGACATGTTAACTATCAAGTGTACTGTAATTCAAGCAACTGCTGGTATATTTTCAAGACATTCTTGCATGGCAAAAACAGATAAGCGCCATATTTAACGTGAACTAGTATGTAAAGAACTTTGTTTCTTAAACACATTCTATAAACATACCATCAGAGATGTCTTGCCGATATAAACAAGCGATATTTCCACATTTCCTGGTTTATAAAACAAAGATAAAATTAGACTGGGCGCGTAAATATCAATCTTTCTCTTAATTTTCTTTAAACTACCTACGAAAATGCAGATCTAAAATTAGTGCAAGTATTTTTCTTGCTTTCATGACTTCCAGCTAATAATAGATCCTATGTTGTATATATTGTAAACCTACGTAACATTTAATTCTGTTAACTTATAACATGAACTATTTTCCACTGCATTTAAATTTATGTAAAATAAGTTCCGGTATAAAAAATACACTGGCCATATTAAAGGTGTTGCCCTAAACAGAGAAGACTTCCGCTAAAGACATGAATTTTTTAATAATTATTACACCAACTGCAAGTAGTTTCTTAAGGTATAAAAATTATAAAAATAAAGAGTATTCAACAACAATGAAGACATTTTATTTTAATGCTTAATAACAATATAAAAACATGATGCAATTATCACCTTTAGACCTAGAATGATAACAAATTTCAATCAAACTTCAAATAATAAAAGAAAATTATACCAAGAGTTAAATTGGATATTACATGGGATCAGCGTTGTCAAAAATCAAAACATTATTTGAATAGGCATAAAAGAGTAAGACAATGTCCTGTTAACTGTTACCGATGGTTATTGTTTATTATCAAGAACGATTAAGCCCATTCTCCGGAAATTTCGATTTTTAATTCCAAAAAATTGGCGCCGGGAGGCACGTATAGCCGCCCATACTAAAATATGTTAATAAAAAGTTGGTAGGCAGTTCTTTTAGTTTCAAAGTAAAGGAATTTTTCCAATTTTGGTCTGCGGTTATTTCCCCTCGCGTCCGATGGGAATTTGGAGTTCTCCACACGGATTGTCCCAAAAACGGACTACGGAAACACGGAATATCTCAAAATCTGCGACTTCGGCTAATTTTGATGTTATTACAAATTTTGTTGCAAATATTATTCCTAATCCTAAATTGAAAACCGCGTTTCGCTAGCTACTGTAATTTTGGAGTTACGATTTTTTAAAATTTTGAACCCCCTTCCATACCCCCTTACCAACCCCCCACCCCCACCAAAAACTAATGGCGAGATTCTCGGGTGCCACAGTATTTTTGTGCCAAATTTGGTTAAAATCGGTTTAGCGGTTTTTGAGTTATCGTGTTACAGACGGACAGACAGACAGACACCATGAAAATATTTTGTATTTAGGTCATTTATGACACAAATAACTCATTTTGAGTGAAATTAAAAAAAAACTTTGTTTTGCCGATCTTAATAGCCTACCATACCTGTTGGTATGGTCGGCTAAAAAAGTCAGTGGCGTACCTACATGTTTTTTTTATAAAAATATTCGAGTGATATCCCATGTGCACGTCTCTGGTGCGACACTTTTTAGCATTAAAATATGTCACACTTATAGTTGCTTATAGTAACTTTTTTCCTCAACAATTATTCATTCAAATCACTAAAAGCACTTAGAAGAAAATAATAATAATTGAAAAAAAAATAACCCCCTGTAGCTACGAAATAGAGACGAATCTCTCCACGAGAGATGGTACATGTTTTTTGAAACACCCTGTATATTCATTTCATTTTATACTGTATTTCTTTAATACAGTATTGGCCATAAGTGGATGAACTTTGTTAAAATAATGGGTTTTTCCTAATATGTTTAAAATTAAAATTTGAGCTATATTTACTTGAAGTCTAGTGTCAGTACTATAAAAATAAATACCATTGTTTTTTTAAAATGTGCTTTAATAAGGTATCAAAAAATTTAAATTGAAAAAACTATTGGACAAAAGTAGATGTACAAAATATATATTTAATAAAAAAAAATCTTATGTTAACAAAAACTGAAAAATTAACTTATAATTTACTAGTACTTAGTGTAATAACCCTTATTCTTAATTACTTTCAGACATCGCTTAGGCATGGATCCCAGAAGATTTTCAGTTATAGAAAAATCGATATTTTTCCAAGACTCTTCCAAAGCTGCAAATAATTCTTGCTTATTTTTGTAGAATTTGGTCCTAATGTGTTGATCCAAAATTTCCCATAAATTTTTTATTGGATTCAGGTCTGGGGATTGCGATGGCCATTTGAGAACAGTCACCATTTCATCTTCCAAAAACCTTTTAACCAATTGTGAGGCATGTTTAGGGTCGTTATCATGTTGGAAGTAGTGTACAACTGGCATTTTTTCCTCCAAATAAGGCACTAAAAGGTTTTGTAAAATGTCTCTGTAGCCAAACCGATCCATTATGCCCTCAATTTTATGGAGAGGCCCCATCCCATACCATGATTGAGCCCCCACCATGTTTTACAGTGGGTCGCGTGTAATTTGGTAGCAATGGTGTGTTGGGAGGTCTTCTTACATGTTGAATTCCATCTGATGACACCAAATTAAACTTTGATTCATCACTAAAACAAACTTTTTTCCATTGTGCCAGTCCAGTTTTGATATTCCTTGGCAAATGCTAATCGGGCCTTCAAATTTTTTTTTGCTAGCAGTGGTTTCTTGGCGGGTCTTCGGGAAAACAACTTCTGGTCAACTAATTTACGTCGGATCGTCCTTGTACTCACTGGTGGATAGCCCATTTCTTCAAGTTTTGCTTTTATCTTCGTTGACGGCAAAAATGGATCTTGTGAAGAAATTCGTTTTATGGCTTTTATCATATTGGGACCAACTTTTTAGGTCGTCCTGGTTTTCTTTTTATAGAGACATCTCCTCTCTCATTATATCTCTTTAAAATATAATGGAGCGCTGATTTTCCAAGGCGTAATTGCTTAGCGATTTCCGATTGCTTCAAACCATCCTTAAAAGCATTCACTACTCGCAACTTAAGATCTGCAGACAAGTTAATTCCACGTGGCATGATATATCACAAAAGCGCAAATGTTTTTGAATCGCAATTGTTCATAAAAGCAGAACAAATGAAACTAACGATTTTTAAAAATATTTGGTTCATCTACTTTTGTCCAAGACAAAAAAGCAATATTTGCCAATTCTTATCTATAAATGATAAGACTAACAGAAGAATTTATATTTGTTTGTAGTATTTTGGTGAGAATGTATTAAACTTTTAACATACAAAGGTACATAAAATAATTTTGATATTTAACACCTCAAATCTGATTTTCTTCGCAATTATTGGTATTGGTTCATCCACTTTTGGCCAATACTGTAAATATAATATAATCTTATAAAGTGAATAACCCTATGACTTGTAAACATTCTTGTTTTGAAAGATGTTTGTTTTTAATAAGTTAAATGGATAATAACATTATACTAAAGTGAAATGATCAGGTTTGTTTGGATTATTACTTGAACAACTTGTCGACATAATCTGAGGATAACAATTCTTGTAGAATGACCCATTACGATCTCATTGTTCGGGTTAAAGCCTAGACAACTCTAAACCGGCATCTTATTGCCTTGCTTAATCAAAACGAAGGACGTCAAATAACTCTACCAGGAAATGTTCAATTTTGTTGCTTTGGTACTACCTGGCCATACCTAGAGATTTCTCAGAAATCAATTCTATAGGAAGGTGCAGGACGGAGAGATTCGTATACAGGGTGTTAACAACCTTAGGAAGCAACGAATTTTATCATTTATAGGTACGAAAACTCAACAAAAGAAGAAAAATATATTATTAAAGCTTTCGATTGACTCTGGTATACCTACTATATGCAGATGCTGGCTGTGTTCTGTTCAGCACAAGTACCTACCACTCCCATGAAAAGGTTGGGCTAAATAATATTTACGAAATAGGAACAGCGTATTTAAGATAAGTTACTTGAACTTATAGGAATTTTTATTAATTCGTCAAAAGCTACCTATAAACAAAACCAAAAAAGAAAAAGAAATAAAATAAGATACGAGACAAACAAAGAGAGAGAGAGAACGCTCTTATTTACATTTCTTTTATGGCCTGTCATTCTTTCTTGTCTCTTAAGAAGTTAACTATCTAAAGATTTTTACTATAAAACATATTCCTAAATTATACAGGGTTCGGCAAAAGTGCGTCGGGTATCTGTAACTTCTACATATAATAAAAAAATATGTATTAGGATGTATTTCAAGAAAATATTTTCACTTCTCCAAGATGGCTCAGAAATTTCTGAGTGGATCGGGATGATTTTTTTTTAAATTGTGTATTATTGCATTTTTGGTTTCATTTCTTATCATTTTTCAAATTCTAAGATATTATTAAATATGTTTTGACAGTTTCAGAAATTTTAATAAGTAAA